TTGACCAATAGATCTGAGAGAAAGTCTGCAAACTCTTTTAGGAAATCAGCATAGGGCCCTGGAGGTCTATATACAGTAGCCAAGGCTATAATAGGGATTTCTTTCTTACATCTAAGAGCATAACATTTAGCACAAGTACTTCAAACTAATTAAACCTGTGACCTGTTTTCTGAGTAACATTTAGAATATCTCTATAGATTGTTGCAACACCGCCGCCACGACCGATCAGACGGGGCTCATGCTTATAACAGTATTCTGGTGGAGTAGACTCATTTAGACCGAAATAATCATTTGGTTTAAGCCAGGTTTCTGTAAGGCAAAGTACATCGAAACTATTATCTGTGACCATTTCATTTTCAATAACCGCCTTAGGGGTGAGCGATCTAATGTTTAGAAGACCTAGCTTTAGAAATTGTTTTTGTTCACTGATATTGAAATTTTCTGGTTTAAAGCCACACCATGCAGAAATTGTGTTTTTGTCAAACAGCGACCCCTATAGTCGCTGTGGAATACTTGCACTGTCGTAAATAGCTAGCTAGACATATGTGGAAATTATTGGACTGGTCTAATTATCAACAATGAATGAATGAACAGCATCGTAAAAAAATGACATACTACAAGCAAGCGCAACAACATAGAACGCAAACAAGTTTAGAAATAAGAGATTTATTTACTAGTCTATCAACAAGATAGCCAGGTGGTCAGCATCGCTGTTGCATCCAGTGCTGCTTTTTAGCTTGCGCCAACTAGTGAAAGCCCGACCGAGTGGGACTGTCACAACTCTGAAGGAAATAGTCAAAGGATTCAGTTGCGAGTAAACAGTAATTTATTGAGCACAATAGTAGATAGCCGTGTGGGTCAAAATGGAAGCAGGCAGAAGAAGACTCAAGCCCCGTTCACACTACACGCGACCAAGCGACGCGATACCATTCATTTCAATGGTGAGCGGGCGACTTCCGGCGCGACAGCGACCGTTGGCGACTAGATGGGGTGTGTCTAGCGACGCGACAAAGTTGAGAAATTTTTAACTTTATGCAAATGAAGAGCGATTTTCGCGAGCGACAACCAATAGGAGTGGAGCGCACGTTATCCTTCTCCTCAGCCCCTGGGCCTGCAGTGATGGATGGCAAGAAAGCTGATTCGCTGTCTTTTGGATGTCATACTAGTCAACCAGTAGTGGGAACGCCCACTAGCGACCTCATCGCCAGCGCCTTGCGACTTGCAGCGACAAAGTCGCGTGTAGTGTGAACGGGGCTTCACACCGCCAGCGACACGCAGCGACAAAGCGACACGATCCCATTCATTTCAATGGAGCGCTGGCGACATCCGGCGACACGAGCGACAGTGACCGTTGGCGACAGAATGTGGGCGTGTCAAGCGACAAGAGACAAGCACAAAAGTTGAGAATTTTTAACTTTATGCAAATGAGAAGCGATTTTCGCGAGCGACAACCAATAGGAAAGAAGACTTTCAGTGGAGCTCACGTCACCGTCTCGAGTGCAGGCAAGACAGAAGAGGTCGAGGGAGATTTCACTGTTTTATATGATTTGACTGTAACCACATACATGGATATAATAAAATGACGAATGGAAAAGAAACTGTCGACAGTCTCAGTGAGTTTAATTCATATACATTTATAGTTTGAGTGTTGTAATTTTATGATGCAAGTTTAGCACTGATCATTTTACAGTTTCCCTTGCATTATGTTGACTATTAGGGACAAGAAAATTGATTATTTGTCAAATTCGAATGACGTTTTAGTAATTTATGACAGTCATATTTGTTGATTGATCGATCGTTAATCTAGTAAATGATTTAATCCACTGAACACTGCTGTGGTAATATAAAAACACTCTCCCAACAGCATACTGTTTCTTTTGAGCCTAATTCCTAGTCAAATTAAAATGATATAGTTATATGTCACTTCTGATGGCATTTTGTGTAGATATATGGCCAGACGTGCAGTCAACCAATAACATTAGAGCGACAGCACTACGAACGCCCACAAGCGACTTCACAGTACAGAGACAAGCGACATGTAGCGACAAAATCGCTGGCGGTGTGAACGGGGCTTCAGGCTCGGAAAAACAGGGACGCAGTGGGCAGACACATGCAGGAACAGGTAGAAATTCCTCCGGGAAAATCTCAGGAAACCACTGCATGGGTACAGGAGTGGAATGCAGGAGAACACGGTGAGTAGAACCCTGGTAGCCTCAACTACCATCTGACAGACAGGACGAGGTAAAAAAAAATATATATATAGAGGGTATGCGCATGACGTCACCGTCGGCCGGAGTGAATGCGGTCACGCCCACAAGTGGCAAAAAGACTGAGCGGCAGCATTTGTTTTCAGCGTAAACGCCGTGAAAAACACACAAAACACATCTAAAACGGGAAAGAGCTTTGCGATTGACTGTACAACTAGATTTGACCAGAAATCTGAGGTACTGTATATTTTTACAGACTGCAAAAAGCTACAGAACAGACTATATTCTGCATAATTGGATGTTTTTAAATAAACACTGACAAAAAACTATACAAGTTTTAGGGCTGGACTATATGATGATATACAGTATAACATTAATGTAAGTGATCACTCGGATTTAGACCTATCTATATTGTATTTATATAAAACGTTTACAGGCAAATTGTCTTCATTTATTTCCCCGGCGTCGAAATCAGGCACATATAAATGTCAGGAAACACGATTCCTGGCTGCATGTCAATATCCATGGATCACTGGATCTTTGATAAGTTGTAAGGAACACTATATCGAGTCCAACTTTTAGTTTAAACTGATAATAGTTTGTTTTACTCGCGTTAACGCAGTTTCCCCTATTAACTCCAGTCACGCAGCAGCTCTTCTGCCACTCAGTCCCGCTGAGGGGGGCGTGTTCCGGCGGGGAAGTGACGTTAATGCATTCCCTCTATAGGACATCCTCATTCAAAACAGCTGGCGCTGATCAGCTCATCAGACGCGCTGATCAGCCGCGCTCACTCACACAACACGCACACACATGGCGAGGGCGAATCAGGGACTCTTTTCCAGTTCCTCACGCGGTCAGATTCTCTTTTCCTTTTCCTAGTCTCTTCCGACCGTGTTTTCTTTGCTTTTTCCATCTTCGAGTATCACGTCTGAAATGCACGCAAGTGTCTTTTATTAATTTTTTTTTTTTTTTTTTTTTTTTTTTTCTAATGAACAAAAAGTACAGGGGATACATGTATCAAGCACAAAAGATAAAATAAATATAACAGTACAATCAAGCAAGGCAGTAGATACGGGATAGTCTACAAAAAATCAAAATAAAAGTTCACAAGACATGCACAGAAACTACAAATACACAAATTGAATACAAGTAATTAGAAATAAATAGCATTGGAAATAGATAAATAATAATCTTCCAACAATCAGGAGGTCATTTATAATGAAACCATAATTTCTTTGAGCAACAAAGTTGTTTTAGTAGCTTTCTTATTAGCTGATAAACAAAGAGAGTCATAAAATAATTTTAAATCAACACAAAAAAGTGTCAAATTGGGCTTAGAGTCAGTCACTTTACATTTATGAAGATGAAACATACCACATAAAGTAAGTAGTGTCTTCGTGCTTCATATATTGTTGTTGATGTGTGTGACGTCGTTGCCGTAAAGCATGTCGTTATTCTCGCGAGATTTATCGGGGGGCGCTCATCTCAAACTTGCATCGCTGTTTTTTTACAGCGGCGTCCCCCACCAAGCTTTACTACCAGGATGATTCGCCCTACTGTGAGTTTGTTTACCACCGAAATTACTTTGAAGCTGTTATATTAAGGTACAATTCTTGCATAGTGTGCCTTTAATTACAATTAGATTGTTCCTAGATCCTAAAGTAGATTTATTGTTTGGCCTCACTAAACGAGGAATAGACACAGTTTCTATATAATGTTCTACACTACTTATGATGTAAATTAAGTTGGGAGAGCAAAGACTGTGATTTGGAAAAAAATGTGATTCCTGTTATTGATTCCTTTGTGTGGATTTTAATATGACTTTAAACCATTCAAGCGCATGAAGACCCACACTGTTTTCTGTGCTGCACACACATACAAAGTGTGCACACTAAAAAAGGGATTTTAATGTGATTTTAAACTATTCGAGGGCAAGAAGACTTGCACGCTATTTTCTGTGCTGCACACACATCCAAAAAGTGTAAGCATCTTTTTGCCCTTGAAAGGATAAATACGCACAAAAATGTCAAAACATCCTCGTAAACACAGTTGGTTATGTCTTATGTGAACGTAAATAGTTGACAAAAAAAACGTATAACAGTATATTGGATCCATGCCGCTCTTATAGTGACAGCAGCCTGATATTCCTGCTGCCGTCAAGATTAATCAAACAACAAAAGACAAAGAGAAAATTCACTCCCTGTTCTTGACTGAATAACTTTTGTAACTTTATTGGTAATGTATATTTTACTGTGTGTGCAGTCTTATTTGATAATTTGATTACAGTTTTAACTGAATATCTGAAAATCTTAAACACTGTTCAACAATTTATTTCAATCATTGCTCAGTTGTATTATTTATGGGATTGCTAATTTGTTTTTGTTCCTTTTTAATAACTTGAGTGTTTACTTGTCTTTAATAATGCTTGAAATTTATATTAGTTAGGCTAGTTGTTTTTGCTATGTTATTTTTAAACAATAGGCAAAAAGTTCCTTGTGTAAGTGTTCTTTAGCATGTTGAAATTTGTACATGGTATTTTGCTACAATGAAATGTATTGCAATGACTTAGAATAAATGTGAATAGCTTCTTTCTTTCTTTTTTACCTAATTGGAATCAAATTTAGGAATCGATGAGCAGAATCGGAATTGTTAAAATTCAATCGATACCCCAACCCTAATTTAAAGGATTAGAGAAAAACTGTTATCTGGCATCTGTAACTGCCAGCATTGTTACACAATTCTCAGTGGCAAAGAAACTAAAGCTAAGGCTGGAACACAACTGAACACAGAGACTTCAAAATGTAACTGAATTTTATTAGCAAAATCAATTATTAGTGACTCATGTACAATGTATAAACATATCAATTAAAGGTCCTAGATTCATGTTGATTTTTAGATCAGGGAGCGAATGTAGAGAAGTGGATACAAATCAGATCCACAGAAAGACAAGACAAACAACTGACTGTGCAAGGCCGAATTCTCCTTACATGCATTTTGTTCCCATGGAGTGCAGCAGAATGCATTTCTTTGGAATGCATGTAGTAGAATAATGGAATGTATGTCTGTCTGCACCCTAATAGAATTTAAGGCAGACTTGATTCTTATGGAATGTATTGGATACCAGCTCATGTGTGGGGAATGGTTGGTCTCTGAAGCAAGGACCTAGATCAGTTTTAGGTTCAAATGATACAATGCATTTGTAAACTTTGGTTTAAGCTGTGATCTGTTCATTGTTATTGTTTTAAGACTACACATCTGGTCCACCCTGCTGTTGAGCCAAGAAAGATAGATCACTGGTCGACAGGTCTTTATTTGTTGTTGAAGATCTGTCGAGTTTGACCGTAACCAGTCATGCCTGCTTGTGATGCCCCTTTGTTAGTGCCCATCTGTAGGCCGATTACACTCTGACCCTCTTTCAGCTGATCCTCAGAGAACTCTCTCTTGTTCTCCTGGGATTTCCTGATGTAAAGATAAAAACAAAGAATTCAGTGCACACACATACAGTAGTCTACCGTTCAAAAGTTTGGGGTCAGTGAGTTTATTTGGGTTTTTTTTTTAGTACGGATGAATTAAATTGATCAAAAGTGGCAGTTTTCTATTTCTATTTCAAGTAAATATACATTAGTTCTTGATAATGCATAATAACTGTTTCTTGAGCATCAAATCAGCATATTAGAATAATTTCTGAAGGATCATGTCACACTGAAGACTGGAATAATGATGCTGAAAACTCAGCTTTGCCTCACAGGCATAAATTACATTTTGATGTATAATAATAATTTAAAAAAAAAACGGTTATTTAAAATGTTAGTATTTTTTAACAATGTTACTGTTTTACAATGTTACTGGTGAGCATAAGATACCTTTCATCGACCCCAAACTTGTACTTTTTTAAGCAACGTTTACCCTCGGCTGCCAATGAAGTTATATTTGTTTATAACTGCTGTTTGTTTATAGCCGTCTTTTCTTTTGTGAAGTTTCATAATACCATATTTCTATGAGACATACACTTATCTGTGTTTGCTGATCCCATGCTGGACACATTTAAAATGTCTGGCCAATAAGTGTTTGTAATCATGTTGCTATGACGATAAGCCACAACTGCAAATCAGCCAGTACAGAGGCTTGTTTTTGTTATCTGGTTGCTATGGTTGCCCGGTCAGCCGGTTCATTTTGCGAACAGGAAGAGGAAACTACAATAACACTCACTTGTGAAACCAACTGGGGTCACCGCGGTAACAGCCATCACTCTTGGTAACAGCCAGACTCCCCAAAGACATCAGCATCATTTGCACAGCGGCAAGGTCCTTACCTGCCCACACAAACGTATAGATCAATAAATAAATGATGCCATTTTTTGGCAGTTTCTGATAAGAACATTAATGTAACAGCCATCTGTCTCTTTAGAACTAAAACTAGCTAAACATACTTATTTTCTTTATCGAAATATTAGATGAAAACTTAAGTTTAAGATGAAAGGAATAGTTCACCCTAAAATGAAAATTCTGTCTTCATTTCCTCACCCTCAAACCTGTATGAGTTTCTTTCTTATGCTAAACAACTTCTGAATTCTGAAGAATGTCGGTAACCAAACAGTTGGAAAAAAATACTATGGAAGTCAATGGGGTCCATCAACTGTTTGGTTACCAACATTCTTCAAAATATCTTCTTTTGTGTTCAACAGAACAAAGAAACTCAAACAGGTTTGGAACAACACATGGATGAGTAAATGATGACAGAATTTTCATTTTTGGGTGAACTAAACCTTTAAAGGTGCACTATGCAGGAATTTCGTTTTTGTCAAACAGCGACCCCTAGAGTCGCTGTGGAGTACTTGTACTGTCGTAAATAGCACTCACGCAGAGATGGCTCTGCACTCACGGCCTGATCCCCTCCCCCTGTACACCCCGGTACCTGTTCAGTAGGATGGACGCTGTAACGAGTTGAAATAAGGTGTGGCCCCTTTAAGAGCTGCGCGTCCTGTTTAACTGTTGGCAGTTTGTATTGTATGTGCGCCTCGAACACCACATGTATACGGCGCCGGGTTATTTCTGTTTGATGCTTATTTTATCAGAATTTTATCAGATCTTTTTTGCCGTAAAGCAATTCGTTACATCGCGACACTCCCTGATGCTGCGGCCGGCGGCCCGCCGGCTCAAAGTTGCAAGTGTGTTTTTTCCGCTCACATGCGATAGGGGGGTGCGAAACGACCACCATTCAACCCGAAAAGAGTAATATAACCATTCCAATGACTCCGAAGCTGTTCGGTTGAGGTAAAAAAAACCCTGCATAGTTCACCTTTAAGTTCTAAAATGACTAAAACTGAAAAAAAAAACTACAACTCATAATAACAAAAGCACACAACCAAATCACTAAAATAAATAAAAACTGAAAATATAAAAATAAATGCTGTTCCAAAATATTAATAAATACTATAATAGTATATAAATAATACTAGCATAACACTGTTAAGTGCTAGTTCAATATTTAATGACAGAATTCCTTATCAATCGTTGATTCCTTTAAGAACACGTGATGTGAAAATAGGCGCTCACCCTCCCACAGGTCAACGGTTTGAAACGCGTCAGACTTGGTGATTCCATAGCGTTCAGCAGCAACAAGGAACTGAGAGATTTGCTCCATCTGTTTAAAAGCCATTCCAGAACTTTGGATCTTTTTCACAGGCTTTGAATCCTTATTGAGACTGTTAATTAGCTCACATAAAACCTACAAAGAATGAACAGAAAAAGAGATGATTATGTGGTTACGTACGTGACAAAGACTTTTATAATGTAAGATGTAAAGATAAACTTGAATGTTTTCTCATGACTTACACATCCATCCTTAAGCCACTGCTGAAAGCCTTGTTTTCCAGGTTCAGGGTTTCCTATAGAATCCCCACACTGAGAGATTATCCACTGCACCAGCCGCTCCTCCAGCTCTGGATCGTACTTCTTGTCAATCTTACTTTGTACCTCGCGACTCAGACCATAGGATGGACCTTTATTTGCCATTTTGACTGTGAAAACACACACAGTCTTAGTTTTCATTAACGACACTGGACCAAACCTGCACAAGAAATAGGCAGATGTGCTCTTTGTGTTTTTTAAGCTGCCTCTCTATTTTACATGATCTGTTCGGGCAGGTTTGGTTTTACTGTTAAAAAGACTGAATCTGTGAAGGCAGAGGATTGAGCTTTGTAAGGAATATCTAACTGATTACTGGCATGGAAAAACTTTCAATGTAAATATTGAGTGTACTGTTCATTGAAGTGTATCGTCAAACAGAGCATGTAGCAACACAACCTCTGAACTAGCAAAGAGACAGACATCTCAGATTATAATCAAAAACTGATGACCATTGAGTTTCAAAAATGCTGCAAGCCTGCAACCTGCTTTTGTGTCAACATGTTGTTATGACCTTTCAGCTGTTAGGCTGTATTGGATTTATCAGGCCTTCATTTGAATTCATTACTGTTTCAGGCACCACATCATGAACTAAAATGCAAACACAACAGTATAGGCAAACTCGTACAGATAGAAAGAGAGATGCAAACGAAAACTCGCTTAAATTTGTCAAAGTCCAACCCTCATTCACTAAAGAAAACTGTGTCCTGTTTTCTAGTCAGTCAGGAGTCGGAATTTGTGACTACCATTTGACTCCTTTGTAACATTCAAACACAAAAAGCATACACTCTTTCTTTGCAATAATCCTGCTGTGTCCTCCTTTTTCTAGTTTATTGCACTCAGATTTCACAGCTATCTATGGAATTGTTATAATTCTAGACATTCACATCACAAACATTTCATATACACGCATCCCTGTCTAAACTCTGACATCACTGCAATGGTGAATATACAAAATGACATGTTACATCTTGCCCTGCCCATGTTTGGAGGTGTGTGTGTGTGTGTGTGTGTGTGTGTGTGTGTGTGTGTGTGTGTGGCCTGGTAAACCCTACGTTATGGGGACAAAATGTCCCCACAAAGATGGCAATATCCGAAATCCTTGTTCGTGTGGGGACATTTTTTGGTCCCCATGAGGAAATCAGCTTATAAATCATACTAAGTGATGTTGTTTGAAAATGTAAAAATGCAGAATGTTTCCTGTGATGGGTAGGTTTAGGGATAGGGGCAGTGTAAGGGAATAGAATATACAGTCTGTACAGTATAAAAATCATTATGTCTATGGAAAGTCCCCATAAAACATGAAAACACAACAAGTGTGTGTGTGTGTGTGTGTGTGATGAAAAAACTGTGCATATTAGTCCAATTTGTTCACATCCGGTGAGCATTTCCTGTATCTGTAAGCAGTAGAACACCATCTGTTGAGCCATGTACAATTACACACACAAGCACACCTGAGTCTCTGATGCAATCATACTAAGTTACAACACTGTCCTTTCTCGTAAATGTCATATTATCTCAAATTGCGTAATAATGTTCACCGTATCTGCTGTTTTGGCTTCAGGCTCGATATCATGCAACTCTAAGACTCCCTCTTCAGCAATATTAGCTAAGGATGTGGTGTGGTATGTAACTTATAAGCAAACACTTCTGATATGTAAATGGAGGGACAAATAATTAAGAATGAATTTGTGATATTCAGTTTAGTTATGGTTTGTCAAGTCAAAAAATCAAATTGTCAACTGAGCTTTAACCACTAACACTTAGTCTTCAAACACAGGAAACCAGATGTTGTTAGAGTTGGTTTCTGTTCAGAACAAAAGCATTTTTGCAGAGATCTGATACTCTCAGTTGAATCTCACAAAAGAGAGAGAGAGAGAGAGAGAGAGAGGGGAGTAAAAAGGACAACCCTCATTTGCAGAGGAAAAACATGTGCGTCATGTATCCAGATTATAATTCATTTTTGGAAGATGCAGTTTGAAACTGTGTGTTTATGTGAAAGATGGAGAGATCTTGCAACATGTCATCAGCTACTGCCAATAAAAAGACTTTTAAAGACACAGAACATGTGAAAACAGGCAGAGGCATTCAACAGAATTCTAAAGAATGAACTAAGATTACGAGATTTCTTTATTCTTTGCTAGTCAGTCCACACCACTAAAACACATCTCTAAATACTCCAATTTTCTCTCTTTCTCTACCTTGGTTTATATTAGGCTACATATTTATTCCTTACAAAATCATTTTAACATAGCAATAGGTAGGTTTATATGTAAAGTACTTACCAGTTTATATGAAACCCTGCTCAGTAGTCTTGATATGGAAATGCGTATTCTGTGTTGCACACAACTGTGTGTGTTAATGTGAAAATAATCTCTTCCTCTTTATGACAAAGTTCAGGGTCCAAGCTCAGGGAGTGCCACTCTCATGGAAATGACTTCACCAAGAGCGAGACGGAGCATGAGAACGAGAGGGAGTGTAGGACAAGAACTAGAATGGCAAAAGAGGAGGTAACCACATCCATAAAAGGTCATGACTTTTTTCGGAGTCTCTCTCTCTCTCCACCATTTTCTGCCCCTCCCTTCCTCTCTCGTTTCCCTGTATTGCAATGTGCGTCCTTATTTGGGAGATGGAAAAGAAGCGGTTGGGACAAAGCGAGGAATTTCTTCACATGCCTTCTCCTCCACTCCGCCCAGAGTGGAATGACACTGGCATGAATGAGAAAATAATATCTTGGCATTTTCTATGGAGGCTGCTGATTAAAGGGTTTGATGAAATAGGATGTCACAGAGTGCAAACATGACAACTGACCGAAAAAAAATTAAACAAGCCTCAGACTGTAAATGTTGCAAAAACGAGAAAGAGACATCAGACAGACATGCATACCATTCCTGACATGTCATGACATCACTAGACAAAGTGAACTGTAATGATATCATCATCTGACGTCTGCTTAGAATTTAGTCACTTCCCTTTGCTTTTATGTCTAGTTTTTGTAATAGCCTAATCTTCTGTTGACTTGTCTATTCTCTGTACGGTTTTATAACTTTGGATTGTTTTCTAAATATTCAAAAATATTGTCTCAAGTTTAGTTTAGTTGAGTATATATCTATATTCGATAGGTTTATGAGTTGTGGACTGATAAAATATTTACCTGTTATTTGTAAATACATTTTGAGAGTCAGTAAATGAAGGCTAGGACTACATTGTTGGATTCATCTAATGGTTTAATGATGGGTATAGACATATTAAGTGTCTAATGTTAGAGATCAACTAACTTTTACTTGTAGTTGATAAAATGCTGTTCATCGTGTTACCTTGAAAACCAGCACATTGAAGTGAGGTCTCATGTTAAGCTTGTTGAGATTCATCAGTGGTTGGGGTGTGTGTGTCATTCACTGGTCTGATGTGAGATGAGATAACACAGAGTGGCTCTGGGTGGGGTTTCCCATTCATACACAAATAATGGTTTTACTACACTAGCATTTAAACGTTTGGGGTTGTTGTGGCAAAAATGCTGTTAAACATCATCACTGCGTAAGAGACAACTCGGAATCAAATTATTAAAAGAGAAGTATTTATTCTTGCAAGAATAGGCCCAGTCGCCAACACAGCAGTTACCCTGTGGAGTGAGTGAGACACAGACAGGAAGAATTGGGCAATCTTTATACTGCTCTTCAAGGTCCTTTTCCCTGCAGAGCTGCCCAGTAGTTTTCCACAGACAAAAGGCCCTTTACTGCTAGCTTTGATTTATCACTAACTAACCCTTTAAACTCCCCTTAACTAGATGACCTTCTGACCTCAGAGGTCCTTGCCCATCTGGTTCTAGAGTGTTTCGCTCCTGCACTTCAGGTGTACAAACATACATACATTTCAGAGAAGTTCCTCCTTCTCACATCAGACTGCAAATGATAAAACCATATGACATTCCTTTGTATTGTCCACTGAAAATAAATGAAAATCAAAAAATTCCACAACAGGGTCAATACTTTTTTTTTTTTCTTTGAATTTTTATTTTATTTTATTCATCATAGATGCATTAAATTTACATTTTCTTTACCAAAAATGGCAGTAATGATAAATTCATAATGAATTCCTTATATTAGCCTGCAACTGCATGCGAGTGTGTGTAAAAGTATATCTGAATGAATGAATGTCTGAAGAGAGAGGTGTAGTCTTAAGAGCAACAGATGCCATAACAATGAGTTTGTCTCCACTAGTCAGTGTATTCTATTGAACATAATAAAAACATCACTGTCAATGTGTCTGTGGGGTTGTGTATGTTTGGGTGTGTTTTGCAGCTATGTTGTGCTGTTTTAGCCCTCGGGAGGATAAAGTATCTACTGAAGATGTTTCGGCGCCACATGTCCCCGCAGATCTGCCGGACATGAGCTGTACGTAATCCTGCTCTCCAGCACTGAGACTGAACAGGTGTGGCGCTGTTTTCACCATCCTCTCTGTTGTCCTCCCACGTAGAGGCCTCAGAACGGCCCTGTCTCACTAGTGCCACCTGCTGGTACAAGTGCTCTCCTTCAGATCCCTTGTTTGAGTACACCGAAGGCTGAAGGAGAAGAGCCCGCACAAGGAGCAGAAAAGATACCTGAGTAAGTCATACACAGATTGATTATGTGTGCATTTTAATACATTCGTGTGTGTGTGTGTGTGTGTGTGTGTGTGTGTGTGTGTGTGTGTGTGTGTGTGTGTGTGTGTGTGTGTGTGTGTGTGTGTGTGTGTGTGTGTGTGTGTGTGTGTGTGTGTGTGTGTGTGTGTGTGTGTGTGTGTGTAAGAGAAAGAGAAAGAGATGCTGCATACCAAATTACCACATTTGTGTGACTATTCCTTAAAAATGTTATTTGTGTATTTGTTGTTTTTTTCTAAATAATTTTGTTCTAATTTAACATTTGTTTTTATTTATGTATTTCAGTTTGTTCCAATTTAACAACATATTTAATTTTATTTATAAGCACATTTATTTATACATTCTAATTTAATTCAAATTTTGAATTTTATTTATCAGAATTTTGTTCCAATTTTATAATATATTGATTTTTTTACTTTATTCTTTATAAGTGTATTATTTATATATTTTACTTTCTTTTTTTTTTTTTTTCTTTTTTTTTTTACAAATGTTTATTATATATTTAATTTTATTTTAACATTTTAAAATATTATGAGTGTATTTATTTGTTTTCTAATTGTGTTGTAATTTTACTAGATTTGTATTAATTTTTATCATTTACTTTTTAAACTAAAACAGGGTCTGCAGCATTTCCAAAAGTCTCCGTTTTCGACGGTAAAAAACTCCAGAGTAGAATAGACATCAGGTGTAACTGTTGCAAAAGTTATGCGTTTTAAATCAAAATGCAGTAAACAGGGCCTTAGATAGAGAGAGAGAGGTGGTGTTGTGTACTTAGTGCAGGGTTGTATCCATTGCCTTGGTTGAGTGTGGGATTGCTGTGTAGGGAATGGGCACATCACAGGTAAAAGGGCCAAAACATCCAGACATTTGAGATATAGTGGCAGTAAATGCCACCCTACTACCAGTTGCAATTAACAAGAAACATAAACTTTTGATAAATAAGATTCAACAGATTCACGCACATAAAGTCGTGTCATTGGTCAGTCAAACACATAATCCCTCCAAGGGGCATCCCTAGATCTATTTTTAACTGATAAATCCTTGTCTGACAATGAAGATTATTATATAATGACCTGAGAGAGTAATTTTCAATGATAATAGTTCAGCATTCTTGCCATGTGTTTTCAATTAGCTGTTTAGAATCAGAACTACTGATGCCAGATTCAAAAAAACAAATTACTCTTATAATCTGTATGAAAAGGTATGAAATTGTTTATAATTCAATTTGATTAATTCAGACTGTTCACTAATGCACTGAATTGTTTACAGCAGTTTCTCACATCAAAATAGTAACAAGATACTTAAATCAGAAAAAGAGCACTCTGGGTGGATAGTTATTGTCAGCTATGATGAAGCAGCTCTTTATTGTGTGTATTGTGTGTGAACAACTCTGTACTGCAAGTAATGACAATTTATATCCATAACTGTTTTTACACAGAGTATGAAAATATGGGGACACTTGTTTTGAGGGGGGTGTGTGCCCCTGGTCCTGCCCCAAACTCATGCCATTAGTTGAGCCTTAATTTTGTTGCTGTGTCGGGCTGCTCCAACAATCTGAGCAATATACAAATGCATTACACGTAGCACTTTCTGCATTTTAAGCCGGGATTGAGAAAAGTATTTTAACATTGAACATGACATATTTTAGCTTGAAGAAATTTGAGCTACTTTGTTCAACTTTGAAGATTGACCTCTTCAGGGTAGCAGGTCCTGATACAAAACAACAATCATGTGAGCTGAAACAGACTGAAATTATCTGCTTATTTTACTGCATATTTTTTAAAACTCAAGATCTTTCGAATGATTATACATTTTTCCAAATTTATTTGCAAAATTCAATATTCAAATGGCATTACCTGGTTCCCAACCTTTTTTTGTCTGAGACCCCCTTTTTCCCAAGAAAATATTTGAGGGTCCCCCTTCACATTTAATGATATTATCGCTCTTGTAAGCTTGCAGCAAGGATGACAAAATGTTTTTTTTTTTTTAAACAAACGGTATGTTTATGCACAAATAATAGCCTATAATATTGAAAATACAATAACAAAAACATCAGTAGGCCCTTTGTAATTTAAAAACGTAAGCCTGGGACGTAAGCCTGGCGTGTTGCCTGCACAAACAAAAATATTCACACTGGTGTGTAGCCTTAGCCTGACTACGTCAGACTTCCTACTTCCGCTAATTTCATTTCGCTCCTGTAGTCAGTCTGAGATAGCAGCCTATCTTTCTGTTTTCCACCGGCCTGAAAACAGCCTGGCCAATCAACGAACAGAGGGCGGGCTGAAAGCCGTGACGTAGTCGGTAAGCGCCGTGTTTAAGATTAGGTCAGGGAAATCGAAAACGACCGCTGATATGGAGACGCGGATGCAATTCGCTCTGTTGTGGAGAATATTCCCGGCATTAGCAAACTGAAGCCCGAACACGAAGAGTGTGTATTAAACATTTTGAATGGAGGTGATGTTGTGGCCCTACTCCCTTTGGGAAAAGTTTAATTTATCAACTATTACCGATCGTCAGCGAGAAACTGGGGAGCCTTTTGACAGGTCAGTGTCTCTTTTCTTTTCCAGGTCTTAAATACCGTAAAACTTCAAATAAAAGCCCGGGCTTTTATTTGCCCAAATCGTCGAACTGCACCGGCTTGTACTTGAGATAGGCGTCTAACTTATATGAGACAGGCCTTTGTAGTTGAGATGTTGTTCATTGAGATGTTGTTCCTAGAGTCTATAATCTCTAAAAATCTCCAAATGCTCCACGTGAAACCGCGGTCTTCCGACCTCTTACTATCTTG